GCGCATTCGATAAGATGCGTACATCCTGTAGAAACATTGTGGCATTTTATTGTTTCTTTTAATCTCTTTAAATATGTAGACATGGAGTGACTGTGGAGGATGGATGGGGGTCTAGACTGTGGATCAGTGGGTCTTCAGTGCTCAGTGATGGAGAAAGGCTCTCTGGCTGTCAGTGTGCTCCTACTGATGAAGCAACGCTGTGATTGACAGATGAGTCTTAGTGAAGACCACCACTGCTCTCTTCACTCAGCTTGAGGGATAACACACCCTATAAGGAGGTGCATCCTTATGAGAATGTAGGCTTTTTATTGGCTTGGGGTTCATATGAATCCATAGCTGTAATACCTAGAGAAGAGTAAACATTGTTTCATGTGACCGCGTTGCAGACAAACTGTTTGCACTGTATAATCTAAATGACTTTATCATTCTCTTGTGTGGAATGTAGGAACCTCAAAATAGCTTCATTTCGCTGTGAGAGAGAGCTTATGATAATTGTGTTGGGTGTTTTGGCACTAGAGAATTCTCAAATCCTTGCTTGTCTTCAAGAATCCCCTCATTAAATCCTTTGCATTCTTCCTCCGGCATGTTGTCTCTCTAAAATAGCTCCAGCCACAAGTTACCTCTCCGTATCCCTGCTAGGCCCCGAGATCAGCTCCATGAGTTGAATTATAGAGCAGAAAAGTCATTAAGTGGGATAAAGATACAAAGAATCGATGAGGCAATGGATACTCCGAAGCTCCCACTTGTCTTCAGTCCAGTGCACATGAGCATCAGGGTGGTGTAAAGTCTGCTTGTTGTTTCCAGGTGAGCTCTCCAGTCAGTCTACAACTCCGCAGTTACTGATGAGGATCAATAATGACCACCTACCCAGACAACACAGAACTTGTTCTTCCTAAATAAATAGTTGTATGGACAATAATAAATGTAAACAAGTAAACAAGCATTAGTTTTGGCTGCAATTCTATAGGAGAGAGATTATAAAGTTGAAGCCCCTTCGTTTAATTTCATAGTTATAAATTGTGCAGCAAATCCTTATGGACATCACAATAAAGCTGATGATGTAAAACCTCTAATTCCCCAAAGAATAACAGGCAGCAGCAACCAGTCTTTGTTGTTGTGGGTGGGAAGCTTTAAAATAGCGCCTGTCCCGAGCCTGTAATTTTTAATAGCTATGTGAAAACTGCTGGATAAATGAGACCGACAGGCATTTCTTGTCTAAAGGATTGTCCTGTTTTATTCACAGAGAAAGGCCCACATCTCTCTCTGTCTCACACACACACTCTCTCGCCTCAGTGACAAGCAGATCTGACTTGTTCTCCTTTAATTATGTGACCCACCTGGGCTGAAGTCTTTCCTTATGGAAACTAATGGCCAATTGAAGCTCTGGTTTGGTGTCATTACACAGACATGCCAAGTGCACCTGTCTCAAAGATGGGAAATAAAGGGCGTGAGTGCAAAGACGATTTTGGCTCTTACCAGAGAGAAATGTATTCATTAGAGAAAATACCGGGTTTTATAGGTGTTATTGCCTTGAACCAGACACGCTCACAAGTGGAGTTATCCACATAAATGGTTGACACAAGACAAGACAAACTTTGTTTTTTTTGTTTTTGTTTTTAACTTGAAAGTATTTATGAAAAACAGTACATGTGCCAGTTGTTCAATAATTCATGCAATCATTCAGTATTTATAATACTTCAGAACAAGCCATACGCAAGACCTCTGTTGATACATCAATGTTAAATCTGCAGACTATGGCAAGCCATGCCTTCCTGAGCATAAGATACAAAGTGACACTTTTATGACAGCATTAAAGGGGTAGGCGGTGGGGTGGGGTGAGGGGAGTGACAGCTTGACCTGAGAAGGGCTAAGATGATCTGTTAACTGGTTAGTAGCCAAGTGTCGGGCTAAAGTGCAATAAGCGTGTGATGTGCTGGCAGTAATCCTACAACAGGAGTCCTGCACTTGGCTTGAAGTGAATGAAATATTTTCTTTTCTCACTAAGTTTAGCTGCTTCCTCCTCACCACATGCCTGTGCGTTCATGTGGAATGAGTCATTCATGCCTGTGGTCCATAAAGCCTCACAGCCCACTCACATCCTCAAACTGCCAGGTCCCTATCCACTCTCTGCATCACCACCAGCAGCTTATATACATATATATTGAACAGTTATCACCCAAATCTGTGTGGCGGCCTTCTAAACCTCAGTTCCTCCACCCTCAGGCTACAGCCACCCTGTAGTAGCCTTTATTTCCTGCTGTCTCCGTCTGTGTTTGTCAGTCAGCTTCTCTTCGGTCTCGCTCTGGGAGGCCAACCTTTCAGCATTTCCAATGATGTGCCTTGGAAATCTGTTTCCAGGGCAACCGGGGTACCAAATACTCTCCCAGCAGCATCTCGCTGGTGCGTCCTCCTTTGTTTACACTCTTGATATCTGTGAGGACGTAGGTTGCTCTAAACACATTTGGGTGGGAACAAAAAAACAACAACAACAACACTGCAAATATATAGACAGGAACGGAGTGAGAGTCACACAGTCAGTTTTATGTTATACACCCACAATATGTAATATGATAATAACAGCCCTGAAGAATAGATCTGCTTTGTAATAAATCAGATCCTAAGTAGATGTCGATTTAACTAGAAGCCCACACCACCGTTCAGCTTAAACGCCGTGCATCATCTCTAGAAAACACAAGAAATGTTCTAAAACCAGTTGATTCTTACGCGCAGCTGCGCGCTCCCAGAGTTCCCCCATTAAGCCGATCTCGTGAGGTAAATGCTATCATTTAAAAGCGTCGTCATTTAAAGACAATGGAGACAATGTCTGAGTGTCTTTCAAGTGATTACCTTCCTCGTTTATTTGACTTATTGAAAACCAACTCACGTCCGCCACTTTTAAGCCTTGCGCTTGCGCGTAACTCAACCGGGAGCTGTCCAAGTGCTGAAATGAGAAAAAGGCGTTCCTCTCTCATTCCTTGACGTTCCCCCCACCTGAGAAAGATCTCACTTCATGAGTAACAACGCAAGCCAACGGGCTGTTCTTCTCAAAGCCCGCTCTTACATCTCAGCCAGCGCCACCGAAGCAGAGCTTCCAGCTGATGCGTCTTGGAGTTTCAGCTTCTCTACGTCTGGCCACTGGACTGATGTCTCTTCACACCTACGCTTCGACAAATCTGTTTTCGGGAGTTTCATGAAACCGCGTTGAGGAATGTCTCCTGTATATTTCTGTGACAAAAGAAGACCCAAACGCCCACGACTTAGTCCGGAAAAAAGCGGGGTCCCTATCTGGATTATGTGTTTGACTAATGTAAACATATGGAAGAAATAGAAAAGTGAGCACATGGGGAAACCACCAGGAATGAATCGCTCCCTTATTAAGGTTTTAGCAGCTTTATTCATATATGTGATGGAGACAAACAACTTCAGGTAGGCGAATCTATTTATCAAACACATTTGATTCAATATCCGTGAAACACTTTGTCTCTTCCAAGTAAAGTTTGAAAATTTAAATGTTAGAAGTTTTCGATGTTAGGGAAACGACATGAAAGCAGCGACAGTGAAGACATTTCTGAACAAAGTTGGTAATTGAATATGATGTGCTTTTATTTTCAAAACTCTTTCTTGATTAAGATTTTAATCATCGATTGTTTTGTCGAGATTATTCTCTAACTAAAATATTATTAATACAAATAATATTCGTATTGGGAAATTTGGTTTGTACTTAAATGGTGACAGAGACGTTTACGCGTGTGATGGTATTTTCCCTTCCCCTCTGGCAACTCAACATTGCGTTAAAACATGGCTACAGCGTGGTGTGGTATCTGTGCGTGAATCTTTATCAACAGAATAATCCTTTCTTAGAGGAGAAGCCCACGACGTCGAAATCCCATCCGATACGTTTGTGCCAATTAACGCATTTTTTCTGGTTTCGCTCTGCGTGCCCACCACTGCGAGGCAGCTGCTAGGGGAAAGATAAGGTTTAACTCCCGATTCTGAGCTCTGACTTGTGTGATCCAGTGATTTTTCTCACCATGTGTGCGTTCCAGAGTTGTGGACGCCAAGGAGCACGATTCCAGATCATCCTCCAACCTGTCTCCATCAGACTTTCTGGACTCACTCATGGGTCGCACGTCTGGGTATGATGCGCGAATAAGACCGAATTTTAAAGGTTTGTTTGTCACGATCTTTATGTTTTAACATAATCTCCACACGCCCCACAAATTTCTAGAAACACAGCAAGTTGGGCATCTTTACTTATATGATTCACTAAAATGACTCAGAACACACAATCACTTCAGTCATCAGTAACATGATTGTTCCGGCTTGAATGAAACCACAAATTAATTCCTCATTATAACATTGCGTGCATGTTTTCATTTCCTGAAAATGTGTAAAGCAGAATCCCCATCAGGATAACATCATTTAAAACAGATGCTTGTAAATATCTCCGTCACAAAGAAACAAATTGGTTCTTGCAGTAGACAAGGATGCCACCATGACAGGCCAAATGATGGATGGTGCCCCCATGGCAAGGCTGCAGGCTACTGACTTCCTCTGTTGTTGTTGCTGCTGTGATGCTGAGGACAGACACAGCATCACAGCACTGGAACAGAGCTGAGTGAGAAGATGCTAGCCCAGCGGCGTTCAGGCCCACTCCAGGCTGGGTCAGGTGGACAGGGACTTGCTGGGTAGCTGAAGCAGTCAGACAGTACAGCACAGGAGCTAATCAGACTCAGAGACACATGGCCCAGATCTTTCCTTCCCACTTGAGGCAAAGGGAAAAAAAATTTTATAGCGCAGAGAGACACAAAAGAAAAGAAAAAGAGACCCCGCAAAACAACAGCGCACATTTTTTTTCTTTTTTTTGCCGAGGGATGATGCATCACTTCTAGCCTTCAAAAAGAAAAAAAGCCTGATTTTATGTTTCCGGTTATTCTTTATTCTGATCATGCACACACACACACACACACACACACACACACACACACACACACACACACACACACACACACACACACACACACACACAGAGTTCTGAATGCACACGCATACATTTTCTGGCAAGAACCCTCCCCCCCAACATTTGCATGAGCTCACTTCATCGTAAATAGATGATTTTGCTTCTGAACCTGCTAGTCACACTTTGAAGAGTGTTGAACTCATTTTCTGAAGGTTGCCCTAGATTTCCTTTGCGTGAGTGAGCAGGTACTGCCATATTTTTCTGCTTCCACTGTTAAATGTAGCAAGCTAACGACAAACTGAGGCAAATATTAATACCAAGCTCCATGCAATATTGATGAAGAAAACACAGGGGAAGGGCACTAGGAAGGGCTTACAGCTCCACTTATCAGAGAGAAAAAGAGAGAGAGAGAGCGAAAAAAGATTTGCTTTGACTTTAAATGGCACATAACCTGCCAAGCCTCGCAAAGAGATTTCAGCTCAGCCTCTTCTATACAGAAAAAGATGACACTATTCATCAAAGCATGCCGGGCACTTCTTACTCACAGTGTTGGAGAGAAACTGCTCAGATTTGATACAAAGAAGAAAAGATTGTTGTAGAACTGCAACCAGAGAGTGTTTTCACTTTAAAAAAATACTCTAGATGACTTTCCCAGTTGATTAGAAATTAATTGTTTAGTAAAAAGAAAGGGAATGTCAGTGACAATCCCAGCTTCATCATCCAAATCAAAATTCGTCACATAAAATAATCACATTTCTGAAGCCAAAACCAGTTATTTTGCGATTTTGTTTATACTGAAACAACTCTTAGTTAATAGAGTACTTAACATTACATTTTGTGGGGATTTCTAATTGATTATTCAGCCAAAGGTACTTTTGTGTTTGTGTGCATGCTCCTATCTGCATGTGCATGTCTCCTCTTGTGTTGTGTAGACACAAGAAAAATGTGTTTACAGCACGACAACCTTGAAAGATTGCCTACACTACCCTACAAGACATCACTGCATCATTATAACATTAAGCTGACACAGTGGTGCCTTTACTAATTAATAGATTTTTCCTGCCCCGAAGCTCCCTCAAAAACAAAAGTTCAAAACACCGTTTGTTCTGTGAATGCATATTTTCCGTTTTCCTGTCAAAATATCTTCCCCACCTGAAACCCAGTCATCCTTTATAATACGTATGGTTTAAGGCTTTTTCCTGTCATGTCATTGTCATTCCATTTCACAGGTCCCCCTGTAAACGTTACATGCAATATTTTTATCAACAGTTTCGGCTCTGTCACAGAGACAACTATGGTGAGTTCCTCTGGTATTTGGTTGATTTTTGTCCTGTACAATGTGTCAATATGTTATCTATTCCTCAACCTGCAGGTCCACCAGTTAATGTTACCTGCAACATATTTATCAACAGCTTTGGTTCTATAGCAGAAACTACAATGGTGAGTTGAGCGTTGTGTTTGGACATGTTTTAAAGCCCTGACCTCTCCTATGGAGATATGACTGAATCATCCTGTTTTTACTTAGCCTTGCTGACCTTTTTTAAAACATCCTTCCATGCCATGTCTTCCTATTCATTAAATAAGATTTAGTTCTTTGCCATCAAAAAGTTTATTGGCGGGCTATCCAGTCAAATATTGGTTTCTGCTCCCATGAGTCTGGTTTTACTATTTCATACAACAAATCCTGACAAGTCACTTAAGCAGAGCCAATAATTAACAGTGGGGGGCTGGGGCTTTCAAACAAACTGATGTGCAATGCATGAGGTGTGAAGGCATCCAGCCCCTGAAGGGTAAAAATATAAAACCTGCAGGGTTGCACTGAAACTAATCAGGATCAAATCGTAATGAGTGATAATAACTACTTAGATCATAAATGGAAAATGATAATTTGCGCAGGAGGTGGAACATGTACGGTTGCCAGGAAATTACACAGTATTAAGACGGGCATGCAGATATTTGGAACCGCCAATATGCTGATAAAATGTCAAGCAACATAAGGGCTTCTCATCATCGTGACATATCAATTACATTGAGCTGTGTGACACTCAGTCTACTGCTAACTGTACTGTCAGATGCCTCCTCTTCAGGCTCTGCATCTGATAAACACCTCATTTAGCTTCTCTTGCATCATTTTGAATAAGAAAGGTTATGGTGAGGTCAGTGGCTTGTGAATGCAGCTTGCAACAATACGTAGTCATGAAAGTTGCCATGAGAACAAATGTATGATAATTAAGATTAATTTTGATGGTATTGCTGAATGATATAAATTTTGCACATTTGTCACTCATTTTCCTTTTATTACTTTTCATGGATTATTACTGATGTTACAGGATTGCTTTCGATCCTTCTGCATTGCAATAAAAGTTTTAAAAAATGATCATCAAAACACACTGGAAGCACCAAAAACATTCATTACTGTCTGGTCTAAAGATGCATTTCATTTATGATTTGTGTATTAGAAAATAAATACAAAATTTCCTGTATTTACCTTGTCAAAAAGAAGGTTATGTAATATTAAAAACTGATACCAGTGATTGACATTCCTCCATCAGCATGCATTCTCATAACCCGAATCGCTGCGCTGCAAAATATGCAAAGCCGCCTGTCATCTCCGCAGGATTACAGAGTGAACATCTTCCTGCGGCAGAAGTGGAATGACCCTCGGCTGGCGTACAGTAAATACCCAGATTCCTCCCTTGACCTGGACCCATCTATGCTGGACTCCATATGGAAGCCTGACCTCTTCTTCGCCAACGAGAAAGGAGCCAACTTCCATGATGTCACCACAGACAACAAGCTGCTGAGGATCTTCAAGGATGGGACTGTCCTCTACAGCATCAGGTGTAGTACTTCACAGGTTTTTAAAGACAATTTTAAAAGGCTGAAGAACTGCACTAGAGCATCATTATTTGAAAATGTTTTAATAATTATTATTTTTTTGATATTGGGACAAAAAAGTTTCTGGACATTTTTTCACCACCAATGTTCTCCAAAGGGACAAAATGAGGAAAATAACTGGTAGATTAGGAAGCGGCAATAATAACTTGCCTTTTACACAGTTTGATATTAGTGTAGCTGAAGCAGAAATCTCTGCTGAATGCTCAGATTACCGCAGGACATGTTCACTTACTGCCTTTCTTACACTTTCTCTTAAACATCAAAGACTGTCAATCTGCAGCATGCAATTTGAAACAGATTTTTATCTCACTGTGATCATTTCTTTGAAACTGTATAATTTTCTGAACCGCAGCACATTCCCATGTGCAATACGACTGCAAGAGGACAAGTAAATCTCAGGGGCGCTGGTGAAAATCTAAAGTAAAGCCCAAACTTAGAGCTGAGAAGGAAGGGGGTATTTTTCTCCATGCTGGTCTTCTATTAAATATGAAAAGATGTTTGAAAACTTAGGATCCATACCACCACAAGTACAAGCCAAAAAGGAAAAAAAAAACTTGTAAAATGTGTTGCATTTTATTACAATACAAAAGCCACATGCAACATCCAATTTTCTCTGCAGCGATGCGATATAAAGCAGATCAATTCTGAGTCCATTTAGAAAGCGGCTCAACTCTGAGTGGTGCTCAGGTGTTAAGGTATCGCGGGCCAAGAAGAAAAATGAAAGGTGGTTAGCTGCAGTCTCCATTCATGAGAGAAATGACAGAGTGAGCAGACTGTGGACCACAATGCATCACAGAAACAATAAGTTGCAGTAATGAAAGTGTAATAGGAACCTGCTGAAGGGTATCCTACATGATATGTTGGAGGTTATGACACAGGAGAAAGAGCAGCCAATACCTGATACAACTAAAAAAAAGTACCAACTGTAATCTAATTTTTCAAGATTCTTTTCAATACGCATGTCGAGCTGCTAGTTTGAGTGTTAATAAGCCTTCTTTTGACATCAAATAACACTGTTGTTTGTTACATTTTACATTGTGACCTTGTGTCATGTTGCAGGTTGACTCTCATTCTATCGTGCCCGATGGATCTGAAGAACTTTCCAATGGACGTCCAAACTTGTACGATGCAACTGGAAAGTTGTAAGTGCTGATCTTTTTATATTCCAGATTTTTGCTACACTTTCTAAAATGAGAATCTACTTACTAAATTCACCCGTTCTTCTCTGGCTCTAGTTGGATACACCATGAATGACTTGGTGTTTGAGTGGCTGGAGAACGGTGCAGTACAGGTGTCGGAGGGACTCACCCTGCCTCAGTTTATCATGAGGGATGAGAAGGAGTTGGGCTACTGTACCAAACACTACAACACCGGTCAGCATTTATGTCTATGTTTCAAACAGCTGACATTTCTCCCAGGTTGATGGCTGAATTGCATTTTTAAATATGTTTTCTTGTTGATGAACAGGGAAGTTTACCTGTATTGAAGTTAAATTCCACCTGGAGCGCCAAATGGGCTACTACCTGATCCAGATGTACATTCCTTCTCTCCTCATTGTCATCCTCTCATGGGTGTCTTTTTGGATTAATATGGATGCTGCTCCAGCCAGAGTGGCGCTGGGAATCACCACTGTGCTTACCATGACCACCCAAAGCTCTGGGTCCAGGGCTTCTCTTCCAAAGGTAAAACCTTTGTTTGTTTTCCTCCAGCAGATAAGCACAAGCCTTGTATGTGGCAAAAACATATGAAGCTTGAGTCCTAGGTTTTGTTAGATATTTCTCATAAGCGTCTCACGTTGAACCATGTTCCCACAGATGTCTTTGCTGTTTATAGTAATTTGTACAACTCACCTGATCTGGTCTGAAAAGACTTGTGATTAGCCAAAGTGTTTCATGTCATATCACAGGGTAAATTTTCTAAAGCAAGAACAGAGAGCACACAGGAAGTAACCTAAGAGATTAATATTTCTTTTAAAAGTGAAAGTTTGTTATGGATATGCAAGTTAAATATATGTCTGCTGGCAAGATTGTCTCCAGGTGCTCCGACTTCTTCCCACAGTCCAAAGACATGCTTGTTAAGTTAATTGGATGTATGTCTCTCTGGGTGAGCCCTGTGATAGACTCGAGGCCCTCCCTCTGACTCTATGACAGCCTGGACAGGTTTCAGCCGCTCAGCTAGGAGAGCGGAGGATGGACAATGCAGTCAGTATGAAGTCAAATAGCAGTTTAAATATTAAATATCAAATGTTGCTATTTAAGACTGATCACTGGTACATAAATCCACCTCTGAGTTTTTACATTTTTTGTACGTTTACATCCATTATGTAATTATATTGTTTGAGTGGTTGTCATAAATATTTATCATTTGAATTAATGCAATCAAGGAAAAAATAGATTTTATAACCATAACTGTAATTGGCATTTGAATAAATTCTGTCTGACACTGCTAGAAAGCATTCATAGTTTATTAAAAAGATAGTAGGTCCCTGCAGTTTTAATGTAGCTGTAGGCACCTAGAATCCCAGCTGTACCTTGAAACAAAAGCAACCAGTGGATCAAACAGATTTTACTATTTCTTCTTTAGGCAGTCAGTGCAATGAGCTGAAAATGGGTGCTGCTCCTTTAGTGTGAGACTCAGGCATCAACATTTCACACAGAGGATGGATTTATAACTCAAAAATAAACACTGAACCAATTGAGAGAACAAACAAAGCAAATCAAAGCGTTCTCCACAGTGGACTGTTTAAACTACAGCTCAGAGCTGTTGTGAAAGCCACTGTAATACATCAGAGAATAAGATACTCTATTTTTGTGTTTTTGTAGAAGCACAGCTGGGCCTGATACAGTTCACAATATGTAACATTTTTGTCATAAACTGTGGTCATTTCAAGGCGTAACAAAAAAAATTGTATCAAGTGTTAAAGGTACTGCAGAAACAACACGAGTCAGATGATGATCAGTCACACATCAGTCTGCACATGAGCACTAAAAGGCCTCAGCCCTGTCAGAGATTCTCATATGAAAGACACGTATGCTGATGAATATTTAAAGGCAAGCCTTTGACAGCCTCAGTGCACGGACAACAATTCAATATGCCTTAAGTGCCCTCTAGAACCAGAGATGTTTCTCCACATGCTAATCAGCTGTCATGAAAGGATGGGGTCACACTGATGAGCAGAAAAAGGTTTCAGCCTCATCTTCACTTTCTCAAAAGAACCAGATCAAAGTCAGGGAACTACAGGTACAAAGTAATGCCACAGTTCTCTTTCTTTTAGCGGTTGAGACATTAATTATTTGCTACTGTTAAAGCCACGCAATCACTGACACTGCTGGCAGCTCTGACACACTTGTTAGCAAACATTATCTGTAATTACAGCTATTTAGAGGTCACAATTAACTGAAGGAGCAAAATAAAATGAAAAACACAGAAAGTGGCTGTGGAACAACTGATAGACAACAACACATAGGACTCAAGTTTAATATTAATAAAAGAGAAATACAAAAATTAAATAGCGTTCCCAGCTAAAGGCTACATTCACACTTTATTTTAACTGTTAGCCAATGCTGTCAGCTTGAAGAATCTAACAAAAAACATCTGTTTTCTCTCCCAGGTCTCCTATGTGAAAGCCATTGATATCTGGATGGCTGTGTGTCTGCTCTTTGTATTTGCTGCATTGCTCGAATATGCTGGGGTTAATTTTGTCTCCAGGCAACAGAAAGAGTTCCTTCGCCTGAGGCGAAGACAAAGAAGGAATCACAAGGTAGGCTTTCGAAGTCTTCACATGGTTGCTCTTCAAACTTTTTAGCCACATTAGCAGCTTGTCTCTGGGAACCCAGTGACAGGTGGGGCCGACAAGCCATTGAACTCCTAGTGCTGTTCCCAAGATGGGATAAATAGGAAGGGTTGTGTTAGGAAAGGCATCTGATGTAAAACCTTTGCCAAATCAAACATGCTGATTATCATAGCTAAGATGGTTTGGACGTGGGCAGAGGAGGGATAGTGGATATATTGGGCAAAAGGTGTTGAATATGGGGCTGTCAGGCAGGAGGGAAAAATGATGACTACAGGGAAGACTGATGGATGTAGTGAAAGGGGACATGCAGAGGGCTGGTGTGAGAGGTGCCAGTGATATGTTGAGATGAAGGCGGATGATCTGCTGTGGCAACCCCTAAAGGAAGAAACAAGAACAAGAAGATGAAGAAGAAGTAGTGTGTCTCTGAGGATGAGCATCAATAATACCTCTTTGGTCTGAAACAAAATTTCTCATTAACTATTGGATGGATTGCTTTAAATTTTGTAAAACATTTGTATGGCTCAGAGCATGAATCACAGTAGATCAGGTATGTAAAGTCTCACGCCCTTTTTTTGTTTAAGATGCCAAAAGTCAAAATTTTCACTCATATTTCAAAATTTACCAAGTGAATTACTTTAGAATTTGGTATAAAGCTCATGAGTCCAGAAAGATGCAGCCTAACTATAATGTGCTCGAACCAAGAGCAGACTCCAATGCAGGAATCGGACAGAGCTCTGGATAAAAGTCTATAAATCTTGTTTTAATGGGCAGAGCAGGGGTCATACACAGGCAGACTGTCCATGAGAAAGGGGGCAGGCAGTAGGCTCAGTCGGAAAAATAGTCCCAGAATAAAATCAGCCAAACTCCAGGGATTTAACACTCATGGTGATCGGCAGGCAGGAAGCATGAGGTCATATAAAGTCAGTCAATAAAACACTGGTTTTATTTGGACTGCATGACAAAAAAGGAAAAAATTTCAAAAGGAAAGGAGAAATGATGTTTCAGAGTCTATGTAGGTCATCATACTGTTGACTGTGGCCACCATGATACTGGCCTTTGTGATTTCAGATGTGATGGATGGATTTCTACCAAATTTTGTCCAAAGAGCTGGATGAATTGTCAGTGTGAGTCAGTTTAGTTTTACATCACAAAAAGCACATTTTCTAACTACAAGTATGTGGCAATTACCATCTTTCAGCTGTTGATTTGAATGACAATCTTTTAAATGGAGAAAAAGGAAGTCTCATGTGCAACCCAGGAGGAACTGCTATAGTTCCTCCAGAATAAAAGAATACAACATAATAATAATGGTCTTGTTTTGTTATCCCAGTACCTGCAAAACTGCTGACTTCCTATTAGCTCTACCTCTATTTGCTATCATAGCCATAGAAACTTGTCAGGGGCGCTGAACACATGCACCTTTATTGCTGTTTGTCTGAATTAAGATTCACCCCCCTGTGACCCTGTATTGAATAAGCAGAAGGAAATAAATGGATGGATGGATTAAGATTCATCTCCCAAAGCAATCTCTGTAAATGTTTTTTCCGCCACTGTGCATCAGGTTATCTTGGGAGTTTATTTTAAATTAATTTGAAAGTGCAATATCTCATGATTAATGTTCATGTTCATGTGGGTTTGTTGAAAAACCTTCAGTCATTACAAAGTAAAGCCTAACATCTGAGCTGCAGGCTTTTAAAAAGCTCTAGCAAACTCATCCACATGTGCATGTCACTTTTCAGGATGACGATCTGCGTGAAGGCCGCTTTAATTTTGCCGGCTACAACATGAGCCAATGTCTGCCAACAAAGGATGGCTCAGCTGTTAAAAATGCTGTTCCAGCTCCCAACCCTCAACAATCAGCCTCAAAGGACATAGACACCATGAGGAAAAAGTTTGTGGACAGAGCCAAGAGGATCGACACGATCTCACGGGCCGCTTTTCCTCTGGCTTTCCTCATCTTCAATGTCTTCTACTGGGTTACCTACAAGATCATCCGGCATGAGGACATCCATAAAAAGTAAAGACTTTGCCGTCGGCTGAGAACATATTTTACATTTCTCAGATTGAGAAATGCTTAGAAAGCACAGGGAGATGAGAGGGTAAACTGTGCATTGAGAGGCACCATTGTGGTAATGGTGGTGTTCTTTCAGGGATAACGTACAATATTTATGAATCGTACAGTAATGTTCATGATTTGATAATGTGAACAGTTGTTCAGACACAGATGCTTTATTTGTTCTTGTACTGCTGCAAAATATTTTCTGAAGATTATAGAGAAAAGGTCTTAGCTCAAGACTCACTAACATGCTGGAGAAGATGGACCAAAATGATTTTGATTTGATTCAGCCTTGAGGTCTACAACCAAGAAACAGAGGAACATTCCATGAATCCGTAACTCTAGGGTAGCTCTGTCAAGCCCTCAAGACGTTTTGCAAATTTTCTTACCGAGGTAGCATAGGACTGTTTTATAATGGACTTCTGTCATAGAACTTCCACCCTATTTATACAAAACATAGCTCTCACATAGCATTACATAACTTTTGGGGCCAGGGACCTCTAAAAAATATGTTTCAAGAAGCCCTTAACAATCGTAACACCACATTAGCTGATGTGGTAGAATCGCTGGATGATGTTGAATAACTCAGTTTCTTAATGCTTGTCTGCTACTTAGATGGCTAACAAGCCAAGCTAAACAGCACCCCGTCCTTTTTTTACACAGTTGTCACACTTACATGTTTCAGATCAATTTTATTATTAGACAAAGACAATATGAATAAATACACAATGTATTTTTCAAATGCTGATTTCATTTATTAAGGAAAAATAGCTACTCAAAACTTTGCGATGATAGCCAAAACCTGATGACTGGTTGTTCCAGCCTTAGCAGTAAGAACTACAGTCAAGAGTTTGAGATAATTATTTGAGCCATTCAGATTTTAGACATGCTGGTGTGTTTCAAATCATTGTTCTGCTGCATAACCTGCTGAAAATGATGGCTGGGCATTCTCCTTTAGGATATTCTGGTACAGAATTCATGGTTCCATTAATTACAATGAGTCATCCAGATCCTAAAACAGCAAAGGAGCCTCAGACCATGACACTACCACCACCATGCTTGACCGTTGGGATAATGTTGTTTTTATGAAATGCTGTGTTAGTTTTATGTCAATATGTAACACAACAAAAAAAACCCTTCAATGAGTAAATATCTTGGTTTTTTGTTGTGTTACATATTGACATAAAACTAACACAGCATTTCATAAAAACAACATTATCCCAACGGTCAAGCATGGTGGTGGTAGTGTCATGGTCTGAGGCTCCTTTGCTGTTTTAGGATCTGGATGACTCATTGTAATTAATGGAACCATGAATTGGTTTCTCATCCGTTTCTTTATATTGTGGCATGAGTGTCAAGTAGTCAACTTCACCTGGTCAGGCGAAATTGACTAGTTAATGGGATTTATTGATTCTGCAGGTCTCACAGTAATCAGGCCTGAGTGTAGCCAACTAAACTGAACTTCAGTCATTACATCTCTTATATTAGTCCATGTTTTATCCTTTGAATCCCCTCTTGGATTTGCCATTAAATTGGAAAAGGAGACACAACAGTGTCAGAATGAGGCTCTCTGTGTTGTTTTCCAAAAATATGTGGTTAATCACAGTTAATTCATGATTTAACATGGGGGACAATTACTTTTTCACACAGGGATAAGTACATTTGGTGAGCTTTTTTTCCCTTAACAAATGAAATAATCATTTAAAAATAAAATTTTGTGTTTTCTCAGGTTATTTTTTTCTAACACTAACATTTATTTGATGATCTGAAATATTCAAGTGTGACAAATATGCAAATAAAGAAATAAATAAGGAGTAAGAAATCAGAAAGGGGACTTTCTCACAGCACTGTAAGTGGTTTCACATAAGATTGATATCATCTGTCATAATCATTCCAGAGTTTCTATTGGCCCAAATATAACATGGGGTGCACCCAATTTAGTGCTGCAAATGATTCCAATCCCTTTTAAATGATAGAAAATAATCTATCTGTCTTTAGCTCATAATTTCGCCCTTGTGGATCCCCTGGCTTTACTTTGAGAACCACTGTTTCGAACTATACGAGCAGAGCACCAAACTAAGCAGCAGTAAATGTCTCAGGCATAGGTATGAATAAATCAGATGAAAATCTGGAATCAGGAATTGGGTTCTGCATTTTTACTAAATCCTGAGGCCTTAGATGTCAACAATTTGGTCGGATAAAGTGCTACGCTTCTCTGTTTTCCCCTTTTGGGTGGTCTATCACAGCTGAACGCAGCCTTTGAGCTTTTCTACCAGTGGCCAGACATCCAAAGGTACTTAACAATGTTTCCTTTTTCTCTAAGTGAATTATAAATATTCGGAAATGATGTCACCTTTTTGTTGATGTCTTTAACTTTGCTTTTCATTCTTGTGCAGTTTATTTAGCAAAATATCATATATCTCACATGAAAAAGGTATAATGGCTTATTTTGAGCAAGTGTATAGGTAAGCCCACAAACTGTGAACATGCACTATGTTGCTAAATGTTATCACACGCCCGTATTCACGTGAATTATTTTAAATTCCAGGGTTAATACCCCCAGGTATGTAAGGTATAGTTTTAGAATTTGAGCTATGTTTTTGTAGATTTAGACAAATAAAATATTTATTGTAATGGGAAAAAGTTATGTTTGTTATAAAATAATATCTTTCTGTATACTTCCGCTGTGGACTGTTTCCCTTCACTTGTTTGTTGCTGGCTGATGATATTTGTTTGTAGATGGACTGAAAAGTGAAGGACAGATCTGCATAACAGTAATGGTACAAAGCAGCTAATGACCCTTGCACTCCTTATATACTGTGGTGACAAACTCTTTTCTTGAATGCTATTCATGAAAAAAGGTTATTTATTGGTCTGTACATCAATAAAATTGACCGTGCACCATATTTACTTTATTTCTGCGTCTCCTGTCATTTATAAATAAGTGACCAGTCCTCTGAATTGACATTTTCATCCATTTGTTGATGAGAGTATAGTTTGCATTGCTTTCTTCTACAACAATAAAAGATGGATGCCTTAAAAAAAACCCGGCACAAACACGCAAAAATACTTTTTTGTGCTCGGTTGCAGATCTAAGAAAATGAAAACACTGCCACTTCTCTTTGCCAAGCTGATAAGTCAGGGTGATGACACATGGCATGGATCACTGGGTGGCCTGAGGTGACATAGATATGATCTGACAGTAGGTTTCCATTAATGCATGATAATGGACTTCACACTGTAATACAGAGATTCCATCAGCTGGTGCGTGCCTACTAGCTGAAGGGAAAATACTGGCACGGCTCCAGAGGCATAAAACGGCAATTATATACCTAAATGTATTTATTGTTTACAAACAAATATGTCCGTTAGATGGTTTACACCTGTTGTTACAGCATTTGTGCTCAAACAAATGCAACCACTACCCTAGTCCTATATGTACAGATGGATATACAGTCGTGAAGGTTTTGTGTATCAGGACAAAAAAAATGAAAAAAACCCAACTATCTTGTATTTCCCAGGTTTAAGATTATTTAAACAACACCTCAGATAAGCACTGCGATTATTTATTATAAAAAAACTGAGAGAAAATGGAGAAGCACTGGGGTTCAGGAGGTTATAGAACCCTTTTCAGCAGCAACTCGAAGTATTAATTTGGGGAAATTTTGGTTTACTCTTTTTTACAAAATTGCTTCAGTTCATTGAGGTTTGTGGCCACTAAATTATGCACTACGCTCTTAATGTGCTGTCACAGCATTTCAATCATGTTGAGGTCTGGGCTTAGACTGGGCCATTGTGGCACATTGATTCTTTTTCGTTTAGGCATTCTTTTGTTGGTTTGCCGCCATGCTCAGTATTATTCTCCTATTGTATGACGCAGCCTCAGCCAAGCTGTACCTGTCAAACAGATGGCCTCATTTTGACTCTAGGATACTTTGCTACATAGAGGAGTTCATAGTGGACACACTGATCCAGGTGCTGTGGCTGTAAACTGTAAACCAGCCGAAATTAGCACTTTTCCACCACTGTGCTTTACAGCTGGTACGAGGTGTTTCTGCTGATATGCTGTGTTTGGTTATCGCCAAACTTGGCATTGTGCATTATTGTCTGAGATGCAGCTCTTGTGTTTGTTGCAATCTCTCTCTCATTGTATGATCTGACCTTGCAGTTTGCTGGGATGTCCACTCCTGTGATGATTGGCAACTTTCCACTTTCGCGCAATAGAATAACAGACAGAATAATAGACATAAATTGCCTAGAAAATGTTTCATAAACATCAACTCTTTCTCTAGGTTCATTGCTCGTGTTCCTCCTCATTGGCATTGGTATCTTTCTTCCATGTTAACACACATCTAAATGTTCCAGACCAGCAAAGTGCCAAAAAATCTGCTTTTATAGATGTGCTCACACTTACTGATGATCAGTCTGCTACTTACCCTCTTAAATCCAATGGAACAGTAAGCATGTACTGTAATTTTTCACACACAGTTTCTGGATTTTGTCTTAAGTTTTATTAAATAAAAAAGACAGTATGATATATGACATGTTGTTGTTCATCTGATGTTGTGGTTACTGTGGTTATTTAAAAAATATGCTCTGTTATGCAAAACTTTACAAGTAAAAATGTGTGCACACTCTTTTTCACAAGAGCATACTAATATATTAGGTGTCCAATAATGTTAGTCATTGCCATTCTGTTGATAGCGCTAGCATCCATTCAACCCTGTTTTTTATTTAGTGCAGAATACATGGGCTGTGGTGGCTTTATTGAGAAGGTCACATGAATCATCCAACTGCTTTTTAGTGCTTAAAACACAGGGATTATAAACTAATCAGCGATACTAATCCGCACTTGGAAACACCAGCCATTACACTGCCAGAGCTCTACACCACTGCCCAGTGTTACTGCTGTTTGAATATGCAAGGATGAAACAGCCCTCGTGCGATCAAGTTCAGTAGAACGATTTATGAAAGAAAAATGATTTGCAGCTTATAATTTATAAGAGGAAACAACTTTCTATCATCCGCAAGATTTACTGAGGCTGGTTTGTGAGGTCTGAGAGGCATTACATGAAGGTTGCCATAGTAACTGCACCGGTGTTGATATGGCCACTTAGAGGAAAGCAGGAAATTAATGAACTTAAGAACACTTGTGCCTGGTTTCACCAATGGTGCCTCTTAAGCCTGGATATAAATACTGCATTAAATCACAAACACAATTTCTACTATATTCTGGTAAGGCGGAATGAGTTTCAGGGTTTCTTCAGAGGATTATGCTTACATGATGCTCAGATTACACTTAAACTACAAACAGGGACGGTTTTGTGAAAACTTTGTTGCATATGCGGTGTCCACTATTTTAAATGTGAAATTGGATCAATGGGAGATATGACAAACTGCTATTGATCTGTAGTCTTTTCTCTCCAGTGTGTATGAACTCACACTGCAAACTGTTTCTATAAAAAAATAATAACATGACATCAACTATATTCCTTTCAATTGCTTATCTTAGGGAAACATAGTATTGAACAAAAAGCTAACAAAAAGTGGCCAAATGATGTTCACATGATATAAATTCAGTATTATTCCTCTCTTTAGCATCATTTAATGTTTTTATGCAGAAAGAGATATAAGAAAGAGACGAAAAGGAAAATCTACAGCATTGTTACTGTTTATTTAATCAGTTTTATTACTGTAAACTGG